TTTCAATATCCAAAAGAAATATCTGCATAAAGCAGAGTCGACTGTACGATTCCGACTATATCACGAGCATGTGTTTAAGAATCACTAACAAATAGTGGTGATACCAGGTGTTCGCAAAAAGGTGAAAGTTTCCTGCCCCGCCGGTGGCACCAGTCACAAACACATGTAAAGGCAAGGCAATTGTTTACCTGAAAGAAACATGGGAACATGTGGTACAAGTCAAGATAGGGAATTGTATCGGACATCATTTTTGTCACTGATGCGTCAAATGTTGTAACCTTCATCAAACAACTTCTGAGCAAGAGTCGTATGTCTAGACCAAGGCGGGATATTGACTCAAGAATAGACCCTCTTTACAATTACCAAAAAAACGTACTTTGCTCGACTCAATTGCCGTAGATGTTTATTGGTCGCCTGGTGTTGCGTGAGTGAAGTATCACACGGCTACATTGCACAATACACAGTAGGGGACACAGGAAATGCACCACACAACTTGCACCATGCACAAAGCGATCTTATCGCACCGATAGGTGCAGCATTTAGTCAGCTCAGAGGCCAACCTGGGACGTGTTGGGGGACGTTTCGCAAAGCCTCGTTGTGATCAGGATGTGAAACTTCTTCACTTTACTATACATATATACAGCATGAAAAATGTTAAGCACCACTTGCAATATATTTCCATTTTAAACATTTGAAACAAAATCGTAGGCTTTACCTAATTTCATGACCAAAAAATTACTATATTTTTGTTTACAAAATGACATACACATATTGAAATAATATAAAGTCCCAGCCACAAGTGTTTATAGTGACATGCTGTGTCACAGATACTTGACTATCGTTCGAAGTGTCACCTCCGCTTCTCTGTATCCTATGATCAGTAAGAGGTAAATCTTGGCTCCACCTCACAAAATGATCGAATCTATGAGGTTGACGATAACCCCATTTTATGCACTGATTAATGGTTAGCGTAGTAAAGATATCTCTCTCTCTCTCTCTCTCTCTCTCTCTCTCTCTCTCTCTCTCTCTCTCTCTCTCTGGCCAAACCACCCTACGAGGTCGATTGATATCGAGCGTGCACGTTTGCAGTTTCGGACCCCAACGGTGGTTTGGTCAAGCCTAAATTTCGCTACACGCACAGGTTTATACGCAGCAGCTAAGAATGTCATTTTTGTGTGGTAAATTGTAAGCACTGAAAACGCTCATCCGACACTCGATGCACCCACGATACATAATGAATGATTGGCCACTCATTCCAGGCGCTCATATTCCTCCAGTATCCATGCACTCACAGCCGCGATCGCGGGTCACACATCCGGGTCACTGTATCGGACAACGAGTCCTGATTGGAAGCCATTTTTAGGAAAAACATCCTGGTGGGTGAACTTATGTTCAGATACTGATATATGTAATCGTGTCAAGTGCAAGGTCCGGGTTCGATGCTTACGTGCCCATGTAAACAAACGCGCGTTTTCAGAAATTAGTATAGAACAGACTAATGCTTTTTGCATAATTATATAGATATGCTACTACAACCGCGACAGTGAGTTGCATGACAATATATATTTATACATCAAAGTGACCGTATCGCTAGCTCTCCGTTGGGCTTCGATGACAGCATGTGGAGCCGTACAACCAAAGTAAACAAAGGATAACTACGCAAAAACAAGTAGATGTTCACGTATGAGGATACTTTCTTAATGAACCGTAACCATTCTTTGACATTTGTTTATGAAAATGTGTAGACTTGTCAAACATAAAACGGATGAAAAGCATATGCAATATCTTGAATGGACTGTGAAAGATGTGACGAATCGTCACATGGCGCTGGCCTGTGGCAGAGGTATTATGCTGGCTGGCTGCCGGCCGCATGTGACTCTGGGTAGGAGAGTGCCTGCAATGGTAGAACCAACAGAAGGTCATATTCTCCCCATGTGGACTCCGAGTACAAACAGGTCCCAAGCAACTCGGGTGATCAGGGGCGGTCGGGTAGCCTAGTGGTTAAATCGTTCGCTCGTCACACCGAAGACCCGAGTTCGATTCCCGACGTGGGTGCAATGTGTGAAGCCCATTTCTGGTGTCCCCCGCCGTGATATTGCTGGAATATTGCTAAAAGCGGCGTAAAAGCATACTCACTCACGCGGGTGATCAGGCTCGATGACTTGGTTGACAGTGAGTCAGTGTACCCGGACGGCGAAGGGCGTCGCTCATATCAATCACTGGTTTGTCTGGGTTATTTACAGATCGGCGTCACACGGGCACAATATATATGAAGCCCATTTCTGGTGTCCCCCGCCGTGATTTTGCTGAAATATATATAATGGCAGCGTAAAACCACAACCACACTCACTACAGGTCGCCGTCATGTAAGCTGCTGGGCAAAAGAAAGTTTACACCCGCATGTTTGATAGTGGATATGTGGGACATACTTCGGCAGGGGCGACGAAGTAAAAACATATCTTGATGATTTTGGGGGCGGTCGGGTAGCCTAGTGGTTAAAGCGTTCGCTCGTCACGCCAAACACCCGGGTTCGATTCCCGACATGGGTACAATGTGTGAAGCCCATTTCATGTAAGTTTGATGAGGGAGCAACCAATTGATTTTCGGGATGGGTGAGGTGCGTGTGTGCTCAGGTGCTCAGTTATATATTTAAAAAGAACTATACTTTTGACGCTTTAATATAGTCTGCAAAAAGGGCACATTTATTTTCATTAAAACGGGGTCTATTCTGTTTAATCAATCGGTTATTTATTTTTCGATTTATTTCATCTGCATGGCCTTAAGAAATGACCAGAGTGGGGATTGGGTACTTGCATTGGGGACTTGGCTTATTGTGTACTATCTTTCTTTGGAATCAGCCTTGCGGGGATACTGGTTAGAAATGGCAACCTATGATAGTCGTATGAGACGACTTATTAGATCGGGTGCTCAGGCAAGGTGACTTGGTAGATTGCGTGTCATCATACCTAGCCAGAGGTGCACGTTATTGAGTAGGTTTGCATAGTCTTTGTCAGGTTATATGAGTGGTTCTACTAGTTTACTAATTATACCTGTAATAAAGTCGTTAAGTAAATGAGGACAGATACACAGGTGTAGGGTTGTACCATGAAAAACGGATGACAAGAAGGGAGTAGCAAGTGTTGTATTATATGCAATTTGTCTGAAAAGCTTAGCTTCATTGTTGCAAAAATAGTACTACACGTATTTGCTGTATGCTAAACTAAATAATTGTACATACACAATTACATTCGCAAACGAATTTTGTAAGGTTATAATGAGCATCATCCAATCGAATGCGGGGATTCACGGGGCCAATCGAATGCGAGGATTCAAGTGTAATCCCTCTCGTTGTCAACGAGGTGGTCCCAAGTCCAGTTTGTTGTGCCGCTGACGCTAATGGGGCCTTTACACAGGATGGCGACCTTTGTGCCTCCCGTGTGCGACCATAAAATGTGTCAGGTCGTCGTTGGAGGATCAAAGGAGGCAGAATGGTTGCCTAGGTCGTTCCAAGGTGGTACACAGGAGGTTCAGGCACCGCAATGAACGCCATGGTCGCCGTCAATTTTTGAACATGTTCAAAACTGTCGTACAAAGGTCGCCGAGGAGGTTGGTTGCTCAAAGGTGGCTCAAAGGAGGCAGAAGGGAGGCACAAGCATTGCCGCTGTTGCAGAATGAAGGCACAGTGGTCGCCCAATGGTCGCCAGGTAACAGATGCGTTCTGTTGAAATAGTCTCCCGTCAATCATGGGCGACGCTTCTGCCTTCTTTGTGCCTCCTTTTGGCGATCAACAGCGTGCATTGAACGATGACTTTGGCGACCGCCATGCCTCTATTCGGCGACCACGGCAACCCTTGAGACACCATGGCAATGCTTCTGCCTCTTTTCTGCCTCCTTTGAGCTACCTGTAGTGCCTCCTCAGCTTGCCTATAAATAGAGGGCTTGTACCTGCAGTGTTTCATTGTGGTTGTAGAGGCTGAACAACTCGAGTAGTTACTGCTGAACATAGAAACATGATTTTCTGGGTTTAGGCGACCATTGAGCGTCCTGGCTCTGTGTAAAGGGGGCTTAATAGGCATCTGGTGATTACGCAGGTTAATTAAAGTGGCATCGGCTAGACGATTGACAGTTGGAGTGTTGGTTCACTCAGGATCAAATCTCTTTGTTGGGGTAAATAAAGGATGAGCCGTCTGTAAAATCCCGATGAATCGCCAGTAAAATCACCCATGTCATTACATTGTCTTCACCTCTGCCGAATGCATGCTTTTTATTTCACTTTGCAGTCTCTTTCTTTGGTTGTTGTTTATAGCCGCATTCAGCTATATTCCAGCTATATGATGGCGGACTGTGAATAACTGAGTCTGGACCAGATAATCCAAGGAGTGATATCATGAGCATCGATCCACGCAATTGGAAATCTAGCTACAGTTATACCTAAGCAGTGATGCAAGTCATCATGGGTCTTACCTTGCAGGGTCAAGTCATAGAGGGTTTACCCTAGCAAGCAGTCAAGTAAATAATTTACGCACCAGTGTAGATCCGGGTCAGATTAGATGTTCAGTAACCCATGCTTGCCAAAAAAGGTGACTGCTCTTGTCTTAAGAGGCGACAAACAGGATCAGGTGGTCAGGCTCGGTTGCTTGGTTGATGCATGTCATCGCATCCCAATTGAGTGGATCGATGCTCATGTTGGCAATCACTGGATTGTCTGGTCCAGACTCGATTATTTACAGACTGCCGTCAAATAGCTAGAATATTTCTGAGAATGGCATGAAACAACAAACAAAGAAACAAAATAGCTTTATATGTAACTGTATGGAGGTAAACCAACTGTATTTTCAGGAGGAAAAAACCCAACCCCAACCCCCTCACTTGACTGAAGAGATTCCCCTGGCGCTTTTCTATTATATACAAAGACAATTTAACAAAAACAATCTTAAAATATTTCATTTCAGAATAATTCTGTTGATTTTTGTCGTTGAATTCACACAGAAATCCCAATGCACAATATCTATTGTTTATTCATAACATCATAAACATACAATACACATATTTGATACTAACATGTAAAATATTTACAAAATGAGTGACATTTAATATGACATGCTACACTGAAGAGATTCCACATCTCTGAGTTAGGCCTGGAGAGCAGCACCATCTCTCTTTGCCTTCAAGTTGATGCCAGCCCCTGAAAAACCTGATGATCCCTGGAACAAACAAATGACTACACGTTAAGGGATTTCATGAACAAATATGGTCAGCTATATTCTATTATTCCATCTTTTTAAACGTCTATTGTTCTCCAGTGGGGTTAAATCTCATAAACAGCGATGGTATAATATCCCAGGGATTTTATTAATACAACTTCTGTTTATACTGTAACATATGAACGCTTCTCACTAGAAATTTATATTGCATTTAAACACAAAGTAATCAACGGTAAAATCAAAGACAAATATTTTCTTTATATTCCCGCGGATCGAACATGCAACCTTCGTAGAACTGATAAATCACAATGCTTTTAAGAACCTGTATACCAGCAACAGATATTTTACGCCTGTTTCCTAAGGCTCATGGAAAGTATGTTTGATACATTAAAATGTTGATAAATGTTGTTTTAAGTTTGTTTTTACTGTTTATAAGTCAGATAATACACTTACCTTTTGCTTTTTATGAGATTTAAAACCCTCATCCTAAAGATGAACTCTCCCTTTGATTTGGGTGTTAAATCTCACAAAAACCATCTGATGTGCTTTAGCCTACACACAGACTATTACAACAGATCCAATATATTAGTGTATATTCTTTGTTATTATGCAGACCCCACTCACAACAGTAACCAAGATCACCCTACTAGAAACAGTCCTGCACCTCATGTCAAAGTAACCTTTCATACCCCACTAACCACTCTTACGCCACAAACCACTCTTACCCCACTAACCACTCTTACCCCAATAACCACCCTTACCTCAATAACCACCCTTACACCACTAACCACTCTTACCTCAATAACCACTCTTACCCCACTAACCACCCTTACACCACTAACCACCCTTACATCACTAACCACTCTTACCCCAATAACCACCCTTACCGCAATAACCACTCTTACCCCAATAACCACCCTTACATCACTAACCACTCTTACCCCACTAACCACTCTTACCCAAATAACCACCCTTACTGCAATAACCACTCTTACCCCACTAACCACCCTTACGCCACTAACCACCCTTACACCACTAAAAACTCTTACCCCAATAACCACTCTTACCCCACTAACCACCCTTACTGCAATAACCACTCTTACCCCAATAACCACTCTTACCCCAATAACCACCCTTACTGCAATAACCACTCTTACCCCACTAACCACCCTTACACCACTAACCACCCTCACACCACTAACCACTCTTACACAACTAACCACTCTTAACCCAATAACCACACTTACACCACTAACCACTCTTACACCACAAACCACCCTTACACCACAAACCACAAACCACCCTTACACCACTGACCACTCTTACCCCACTAACCACTCTCATCCAACTAACCACCCTTACCCCAGTGACCACTCTTACCCCACTAACCACTCTCATCCAACTAACCACCCTTACCCCACTAACCACTCTTACCCCACTAACCACCCTTACACCACTAACCACTCTTACCCCAATAACCACCCTTACACCACTAACCACTCTTACCTCAATAACCACTCTTACCCCACTAACCACCCTTACACCACTAACCACCCTTACATCACTAACCATTCTTACCCCAATAACCACCCTTACCGCAATAACCACTCTTACCCCAATAACCACCCTTTCACCACTAACCACTCTTACCCCAATAACCACCCTTACTGCAATAACCACCCTTACCCCCACTAACCACTCTTACCCCACTAACCACCCTTACACCACTAACCACCCTTACATCACTAACCACTCTTACCCCACTAACCACTCTTACCCCAATAACCACCCTTACCCCAATAACCACTCTTACCCCAATAACCACCCTTACCGCAATAACCACTCTTACCCCACTAACCACCCTTACACCACTAACCACCCTTACATCACTAACCACTCTTACCCCAATAACCACCCTTACTGCAATAACCACTCTTACTGCAATAACCACTCTTACCCCACTAACCACCCTTACAACACTAACCACTCTTACCCCACTAACCACTCTTACCCCAATAACCACTCTTACCCCACTAACCACTCTTACGCCACTAACCATCCTTACACCACTAAAAACTCTTACCCCAATAACCACTCTTACCCCACTAACCACCCTTACTGCAATAACCACTCTTACCCCACTAACCACCCTTACGCCACTAACCACCCTTACACCACTAAAAACTCTTACCCCAATAACCACTCTTACCCCACTAACCACCCTTACTGCAATAACCACTCTTACCCCAATAACCACTCTTACCCCAATAACCACCCTTACTGCAATAACCACTCTTACCCCACTAACCACCCTTACGCCACTAACCACCCTTACACCACTAAAAACTCTTACCCCAATAACCACTCTTACCCCAATAACCACCCTTACATCACTAACCACTCTTACCCCACTAACCACTCTTACCCCAATAACCACCCTTACTGCAATAACCACTCTTACCCCACTAACCACCCTTACGCCACTAACCACCCTTACACCACTAAAAACTCTTACCCCAATAACCACTCTTACCCCACTAACCACCCTTACTGCAATAACCACTCTTACCCCAATAACCACTCTTACCCCAATAACCACCCTTACTGCAATAACCACTCTTACCCCACTAACCACCCTTACACCACTAACCACCCTCACACCACTAACCACTCTTACACAACTAACCACTCTTAACCCAATAACCACACTTACACCACTAACCACTCTTACACCACAAACCACCCTTACACCACAAACCACAAACCACCCTTACACCACTGACCACTCTTACCCCACTAACCACTCTCATCCAACTAACCACCCTTACCCCAGTGACCACTCTTACCCCACTAACCACTCTCATCCAACTAACCACCCTTACCCCACTAACCACTCTTACCCCACTAACCACCCTTACACCACTAACCACTCTTACCCCAATAACCACCCTTACACCACTAACCACTCTTACCTCAATAACCCCTCTTACCCCACTAACCACCCTTACACCACTAACCACCCTTACATCACTAACCACTCTTACCCCAATAACCACCCTTACCGCAATAACCACTCTTACCCCAATAACCACCCTTTCACCACTAACCACTCTTACCCCAATAACCACCCTTACTGCAATAACCACCCTTACCCCCACTAACCACTCTTACCCCACTAACCACCCTTACACCACTAACCACCCTTACATCACTAACCACTCTTACCCCACTAACCACTCTTACCCCAATAACCACCCTTACCCCAATAACCACTCTTACCCATATAACCACCCTTACCGCAATAACCACTCTTACCCCACTAACCACCCTTACAACACTAACCACTCTTACCCCAATAACCACCCTTACTGCAATAACCACTCTTACTGCAATAACCACTCTTACCCCACTAACCACCCTTACAACACTAACCACTCTTACCCCACTAACCACCCTTACACCACTAACCACCCTTACACCACTAACCACCCTTACACCACTAACCACCCTTACATCACTAACCACTCTTACCCCACTAACCACCCTTACAACACTAACCACCCTTACACCACTAACCACCCTTACCCCACTAACCACCCTTAACCCACTAACCACTCTTACCCCAATAACCACCCTTACACCACTAACCACCCTTACATCACTAACCACTCTTACCCCACTAACCACTCTTACCCCAATAACCACCCTTACCCCAATAACCACTCTTACCCCAATAACCACCCTTACCGCAATAACCACTCTTACCCCACTAACCACCCTTACAACACTAACCACTCTTACCCCAATAACCACCCTTACTGCAATAACCACTCTTACTGCAATAACCACTCTTACCCCACTAACCACCCTTACAACACTAACCACTCTTACCCCACTAACCACTCTTACCCCACTAACCACCCTTACACCACTAACCACCCTTACACCACTAACCACCCTTACATCACTAACCACTCTTACCCCAATAACCACTCTTACCCCAATAACCACCCTCACTGCAATAACCACTCTTACCCCACTAACCACCCTTACAACACTAACCACTCTTACCCCAATAACCACCCTTACTGCAATAACCACCCTTACCCCACTAACCACTCTTACCCCACTAACCACCCTTACACCACTAACCACTCTTACACAACTAACCACTCTTACCCCAATAACCACTCTTACCCCAATAACCACCCTTACTGCAATAACCACCCTTACACCACTAACCACCCTTACAACACTAACCACTCTTACCCCAATAACCACTCTTACCCCAATAACCACTCTTACCCCAATAACCACCCTTACTGCAATAACCACTCTTACCCCACTAACCACCCTTACACCACTAACCACCCTCACACCACTAACCACTCTTACACAACTAACCACTCTTACCCCACTAACCACACTTACACCACTAACCACTCTTACACCACAAACCACCCTTACACCACAAACCACCCTTACACCACTGACCACTCTTACCCCACTAACCACTCTCATCCAACTAACCACCCTTACCCCACTAACCACTCTTACCCCACTAACCACCCTTACACCACTAACCACACTTACACCACCCTTACCCCACTAACCACTCTTACACCACTAACCACTCTTACACCACTAACCACTCTTACACCACTAACCACACTTACACCACTAACCACACTTACCCCACTAACCACCCTTACCCCACTAACCACTCTTACCTCAATAACCACCCTTACAACACTAACCACCCTTACACCACTAACCACCCTTACCCCACTAACCACCCTTACCCCACTAACCACTCTTACCCCAATAACCACCCTTACACCACTAACCACCCTTACACCACTAAAAACTCTTACCCCAATAACCACTCTTACCCCACTAACCACACTTACCCCACTAACCACCCTTACCCCACTAACCACTCTTACCTCACTAACCACCCTTACACCACTAACCACACTTACACCACTAACCACTCTTACCCCAATAACCACCCTTACTGCAATAACCACTCTTACCCCACTAACCACCCTTACACCACTAACCACCCTTACACCACTAAAAACTCTTACCCCAATAACCACTCTTACCCCACTAACCACCCTTACAACACTAACCACTCTTACCCCAATAACCACTCTTACCCCAATAACCACCCTTACTGCAATAACCACTCTTACCCCACTAACCACCCTTACACCACTAACCACCCTCACACCACTAACCACTCTTACACAACTAACCACTCTTAACCCAATAACCACACTTACACCACTAACCACTCTTACACCACAAACCACCCTTACACCACAAACCACCCTTACACCACTGACCACTCTTACCCCACTAACCACTCTCATCCAACTAACCACCCTTACACCAGTGACCACTCTTACCCCACTAACCACTCTCATCCAACTAACCACCCTTACCCCACTAACCACTCTTACCCCACTAACCACCCTTACACCACTAACCACACTTACACCACCCTTACCCCACTAACCACTCTTACACCACTAACCACTCTTACCCCACTAACCACTCTTACACCACTAACCACACTTACACCACCCTTACCCCACTAACCACTCTTACACCACTAACCACTCTTACACCACTAACCACTCTTACACCACTAACCACACTTACACCACTAACCACCCTTACCCCACTAACCACTCTTACCTCACTAACCACCCTTACACCACTAACCACACTTACACCACTAACCACACTTACACCACTAACCCCTCTTACACCACAGCCCAATGTATGTAGTATATTCGGTATTACCCTCTGTAGTGGGATGATATCCTTCCACTATCCCACACCCTCATCTATGTGGTATATTTTGTAGTACCCTCTGTAGTGGGATGATATCTTTCAGCTATCCTACACCCCCATCTATGTGGTATATTTTGTATTATCCTCTATGTGGTATATTTTGTATTACCCTCTGTAGTTGGATGATATCCTTCCACTATCCCACACCCCCATCTATGTGGTATATTTTGTATTTACCTCTGTAGTGGGATGATATCCTTCCACTAACCAGGAGGCCCAATCTATGTGGTATATTTTGTATTACCCTCTGTAGTGGGATGATATCTTTCAGCTATCCCACACCCCCATCTATGTGGTATATTTTGTATTATCCTATATGTGGTATATTTTGTATTACCCTCTGTAGTTGGATGATATCCTTCCACTATCCCACACCCCCATCTATGTGGTATATTTTGTATTAACCTCTGTAGTGGGACGATATCCTTCCACTAACCAGGAGGCCCAATCTATGTGGTATATTTTGTATTACCCTCTGTAGTGGGATGATATCCTTCCACTATCCCACACCCCCATCTATGTGGTATATTTTGTATTAACCTCTGTAGTGGGACGATATCCTTCCACTAACCAGGGGGCCCAATCTATGTGGTATATTTTGTATTACCCTCTGTAGTGGGATGATATCCTTCCACTATCCCACACCCCCATCTATGTGGTATATTTTGTATTAACCTCTGTAGTGGGACGATATCCTTCCACTAACCAGGGGGCCCAATCTATGTGGTATATTTTGTATTACCCTCTGTAGTGGGATGATATCCTTCTCCGTCAGCTTCTTGCTATTGGTAGGATCCACCATGTCCTTCTTGATGATCTTGTCCAGACACTCCATCGTCACCACATTCCCCCTGCAACATCGCACACAGTCACATTGGACGGCCATATGAGGGTCCGGAGGGGGATATATCAAATTTCATCCATGTGACAGCAGCCTTATATGTGAAGAAATTACAGGCTGGTAGTTCATGAGGTGAAATTCACACTCTCTTTCCAACTTTACCTGAACATGAGTGAGTGAGTGAGTGAGTGAGTGAGTGAGTGAGTGAGTGAGTGAGTGAGTGAGTGAGAAATAACGCAATATTTCAGCCGTCACATGACGACAAGATATAAGTAATGATGTCCTCATAAATCATTTTGGTGAAGCCCACAAGAGCAGGTATGGTTCTAGCAAGCCTAGACACATAATTAGGCGAATCTTTGATCATGTGTTTCTGGCACAGTAATTGCCGTGTCTTAGACAACTGGGCGACGCCTGCCCCTATGGAAAAGACATACCAGGTTTACTTACGATGTTTTTAACACAGCACATGGCACAGAGTTTCCAAGCACATCATTTGTGACTGCACAGACATACCGAGCCTGGAAACAAACAACAACAGCATACACTTAACAGAAACTACTCACAAAGTCTGATCCAAACAACTTGAAGATGTGGATGGAAAAAACAAATCTCCTGAATCAGATAATGCACTCCATCAGAAAAGCAAGACAGCCTGCATTAACTGTCATAACAATGTGTCTAAATGTGTCCCTTTCATTCTGCCAGCAGACATAAAGAGAACATGACCTGTTTGGTAAAGAGAGCATGATTTACTTGTTGGGCTAAGAGAGCATGATTTGCCTGTTTGGTAAAGAGAGCATGATTTACTTGTTGGGCTAAGAGAGCATGATTTGCCTGTTTGGCTAAGAAAGCATGATTTACTTGTTTGTCTAAGAGAGCATGATTTACCTGTTTGGCTAAGAAAGCATGATTTACTTGTTTGGCTATGAGAGCATGATTTACCTGTTTGGCAAAGACAGCATGATTTACTTGTTTGGCTATGAGAACATGATTTACCTGTTTGGTTAAGAGCATGACTTATCTGCTCTGCTATGAGATTTACCTGTTTGGCTATGAGAGCTGTTTTGCTATCCCCATCCTTGATTGGAGTGAATGTCACATCAATCAGATCCTTCAATCTCAGGGGCTTCTTGCTCATTGGACAGCGGACCTTCTCCTCCTGGAAATGTCACACAACAGTTCTTCAGATCTTGGTCAACATACAACTGGTACAGCACTGATCAGAGACAAAACAGACACTTTCAGCGGCACTATGTACTGCACTGTAAAGACGCCATCCCTCAGAAGGTTCTGTTTGTTTGTTGTTTAACGCCACACTCAGCAATATTCCAGCTATATGACGGCGATCTGTAAGTAATCAAGTCTGGACCAGACAATCCAGTGTTTGACATCATGAGTATCATCCTTGCAATTGGGATACAATTACATACATCAACCAAGACACCTTCTTGACTGGGTGGGCTGAGTGATGGGTTTGGGGATAGGGTAAAGTGACCACTACTTACTGGCTTCTTGACTGGGTGGGCTGAGCATGGGGGTGAAGATAGGGGAGGGTGACCACTTCTTACTGGCTTCTTGACTGGGTGGGCTGAGTGAGGGGGTGAGGATAGTGGAGAGTGACCACTACTTACTGGCTTCTTGACCCGGTTGGGCTGAGCAGGAGGGGTGAAGATAGGGGAGAGTGACCACTACTTACCGGCTTCTTGACCTGGTTGGGCTGAGCAGGAGGGGTGAAGATAGGGGAGAGTGACCACTACTTACCGGCTTCTTGACCTGGGTGGGCTGAGCGTGGGGGGTGAGGTTGGGAATCCAGAAGCTGGGGAGTGTCTTGTCTTTCCCTGTCTCCATGTTAGACAAACTGGTCGGAACCTGACTTTCTACTGCTGCAATCATCAAGATGAGACAAGTATGAAGAATAATCTGTTTTATTTTCCTTAATTATATTGACATGATCACATTATTGCATCATGAAGTATTGGTTGATTGTCTGTTGTTTAACGCCTCACTCAGCAATATTTCAGCTGTATGACAGAGGTCTGTAAATACTCGAGTCTGGACCAGACAATCCAGAGATTGACATCATGAGTGCTGTTCTCCGCAATTTGGATACGATGACATGCATCAGCCGAGTCACCAGGGATGACCACCTGATCCTGTTAGTCGCCTTTTACGACAAGCATAGGCTGCTGAAGACCTATTCTAACCTGGATCTTCATGGGTCTCATGAAGTATTGACAATGATTGATCTATATATTTCATCATGTAAAAATTGACCTACATATCATATCATTAACAAAGTATTGATCTATCTGTACATAATGTATCATGAACAAAGTATTGATCTACATATCGTATCAATAACAAAGTATTGATCAATCTGTACATAATGTATCAATAACAAAGTATTGATCTATCTGTACATAATGTATCATGAACAAAGTATTGATCTATCTGTACATAATGTATCATGAACAAAGTATTGATCTATCTGTACATAATGTATCATGAACAAAGTATTGATCTACCTGTACATGATGTATCATGAACAAAGTATTGATCTTTCTGTACATAATGTATCATGAACAAAGTATTGATCTATCTGTACATAATGTATCATGAACAAAGTATTGATCTATCTGTACATAATGTATCATGAACAAAGTATTGATCTATCTGTACACAATGTATCATGAACAAAGTATTGATCTACCTGTACATGATGTATCATGAACAAAGTATTGATCTATCTGTACACAATGTATCATGAACAAAGTATTGGGACGTATCGTGTGTATCTATCACTCCTACCAAGCTTCTTCTGCTCCATGTTGTCAGCGACAGGGTTGGTCTCTTTCTGGACGAAGGCCGTCTTCTTTGCTTCTACTGCAGCCTTGCACAGTTCCGCCTTCTCCGTCTACCAAACAAGGAGCAGTAGTTAATGCAACAACATCACTCAGATCAAAATACAGCAGAACAGTCTCAATATACAGCAGGAAGGTCTCGAAATACAGCAGGAAGGTCTCGAAATACAGCAGGAAGGTCTCGAAATCCAAGGAACCATACACTTTCACTGAAGTTACACATTGGGTGACACCCAAATATGGGGTCGTCAATTACTGATACAAGTGATTGTTGATTTTAATTGGTAATGTTCTTAATTTTGGCTTTGAATTGGAATCACTAATACATTTCATGACTGATATGGGGAAAATTCTCGGTCAACACATTGGAAAATGCTTCATCTACCCCCGAAATCTCTTGATTATATAAATTTGCTTTGCAAGTAATTTTTTAAATTGATGCTGACTGAAATCTTGAAATACCAGTACAGTGCAATCTGTCAAAATCAGACTTCGGTGAAAACCAGATTTTTTTCTCCTGTCCACTCAGTTCCTTAACCTTTAGCCTGCTGAATTGTTTTCACACTTCTTACCCCTGCCTGCTGGATTAATTTTAGCATAAGGCGCTCAAATATTTTGCACATTAATAATTGATAGAAAATTACACATTGTCATATAAAAATATCCTGACATTTTCAAACATACAGAGGTTAAGACAAAAGTGAACATAAAATTTGTATCATTATTCAAACTGACATACAAGTCTCTAATTCAGACTTTTTGCACTTCAGATGCATTACGATCCCAACAACGAATTTACTAGTGAAAAGAAGCTGTCCAAATCAGACTGGACCATAGTGGATGTTTTCTCACTTTGAAATAAGTTCAGTCATTGTCAGCTAAAACAACAATCCTAATCCTGCTTGTAATCCTATTGATCTTAACACTGTTTCTCATTAACTCAGTGTCAAAAGCCTGTCAATAAATGACGGTCAACACAGCTTGTCATATCAATATCAATCGCTGACTGACCGGCAAAGAATAGGCATATCGAACTTACACCTGCTAAGAAAGTTGCTTTCATAGAGGAATTTAAGTCAGTGCCAAAACCTAACCAGAAAGATTTAGCCGAGAAGTGTGGATATTCTTAAGCGTAGTGAAAACAATAAGCAGCAGTTAGAAGACATTTAATCCCGATTTGTAATCCAATTACCTCAAGCTTTGTCTTCTGTTTTTCAAATTCCTTCAGCTTTCTGGCGATCTCTCTCTTTTGGTGGATGATGTATTCCAAGATGGCCTCCTTGTCATACAGATACCCGTCAGACCTGTGGAAGAAGGAACTGGAGTGTAAGTTTGCCACGCTGCATTGAGAATTTACACCCGATGATATGATCCATGATATGCCTACCCATGTGTCATGATGTTTGTGTTCAGGTGTTCAAATTAAGTATCACAATGCAAGTATCGTGCTATGTTTCAAAATGTGAGGTAAGTGCGTCTTGAGGCCTATACTGGATTTACTTCAAACATTCTTACATGTTACCATGGGTATGCAAAAATTATATTGATATGTTCAGTAGATTTTAAATTTCATTGCATAAAGTAGAAAAGACAGATAACACAAGTATTTGTCACAGAGTGACGAAATATCCCCCGCCTGTATATACACCATAGTACCAAATATGAAGACAATCCAGCGATTAGTTGTGGCAACACCGTTTTCCAACTCCAAAAACAGATTTGCCTGCTGTGACCTTGAAAAAGGGGTCAAGGTCACCAAATCTGACAGGTGTATGCGGTGTCTGTATATACACTATAGTTCCAAATATGAAGACAATCCAGCGATTAGTTCTTGAGATATCGCGACAACACCGTTTTCTAACTCCAAAAGCAGATTTGCCTGCTGTGACCTTGAAAATGGGGTCAAGGTCACCAAAACCGACTGGTGTCTGCGGTGTCTGTATATACACCATAGTTCCAAATATGAAGACAATCCAGTGTTTAGTTCTTGAGATATCGCGGCAACACCGTTTTCCAACTCTAAAAGCAGATTTGCCTGCTGTGACCTTGAAAATGGGACCAAGGTCACCAAAACCGACTGGTGTCTGCGGAGTCTGTATATACACCATAGTTCCAAATATGAAGACAATCCAGTGTTTAGTTCTTGAGATATCGCGGCAACACCGTTTTCCAACTCCAAAAGCAGATTTGCCTGCTGTGACCTTGAAAATGGGGTCTAGGTCACCAAAACCGACTGGTGTCTGCGGTGTCTGTATATACACCATAGTTCCAAATATGAAGACAATCCAGTGTTTAGTTCTTGAGATATCGCGGCAACACCGTTTTCCAACTCTAAAAGCAGATTTGTCTGCTGTGACCTTGAAAATGGGATCAAGGTCACCAAAACCGACTGGTGTCTGCGGAGTCTGTATATACACCATAGTTCCAAATATGAAGACAATCCAGTGTTTAGTTCTTGAGATATCGCGGCAACACCGTTTTCCAACTCTATAAGCAGATTTGTCTGCTGTGACCTTGAAAATGGGATCAAGGTCACCAAAACCGACTGGTGTCTGCGGAGTCTGTATATACACCATAGTTCCAAATATGAAGACAATCCAGTGTTTAGTTCTTGAGATATCGCGGCAACAAACAGGTGGGACGTACGGACGGACGTACGTACGGACGGTCGTGAATACTATATCCCCCGCTTCACGCTTTCGCGCGGCGGGGGATAAAAACATACATATCATAACCTCACACCGAAAAGGCTAATAATTATGTTAGTTATTGCCAAACTGGCAACAATGACCATGATGTTATTTCATCAGGGAGGGCTATTCTTAGACTAATATTCCAATCATATCTGGGAAAAATACCACTTCCAATTTCTGAATCCCATAGTCTCAAGTCTGGGCTCGAAATTAGAAAAAAAATTAGGTGTGCCCAAGGGCACTGGACCTGTTTTTCATGTGTACCATTTTCAATTTAGGTGTGCCTTGTTTTCATTACCCAATAAGAATAACAATAGCAATCGTCTGCTAGGTTTTTCACAACAATCAACATATATAACCACTTCCATATAAAATGCAAGACCTACTTAAAATTTGTGATATTCTGTCAAAATATGGTCTGACACGATTACATTTGCATGTTTTTCGTGCCAACTTGAACATCTCGACAATCGATTTTACAACAGGAAATCGCTAAGCAATAGTAGAACATGCAAATAACGACGAAAACATTTTCGTTTCACAGTTTAATTTTGTCAAGACATGAAATAAAAAGTGATGTTAGTATATTTTATGAAAATGACCATGCAGTGGCACTGAACATAAAATTCAAGTGTGCCATTTTCTATTTTATGTTTGCCACAGGCATGGCAGCACTAGTAAATTTTGGGCCAAGCAAGTTGTGTATTATTCAGTAGGATCAACTCCATGACCTTATTGTATATTGGAAGATATGCCATCTTTACTGACATGATTAAGCAAATAACACTGACAAAAATATTTGCTAAGATCATCTACTGTGTTGGTCATTATCCCCCATCACAATAATGTTAGGGTGATGTAGGAGTGACTGAGTTGAGTTTAACGCCGCTTTAAACAGTATTCCAGTTACAGCACAGCGTGTCAGCATAATGTGGGAGGAAAGCAGGTTTCAGATGTTTACCATTTCGGTGAAACCCACTAGCACGGGTACGGTGCTGACAAACCTAGAAACATAATCGGGGCGAACCAGGAATCGAACCCACAATCATAGGTTTCTGGCGTGCTCAAGGGACACAACTCTGCACAGCGGATCGCGACACCTTAGACGACTGGGCCACCCATGCCCCCGGCTGATGTCCATCAGTCTGATCAAACACGGAAAGCAGAACAGACGGATCATAACTTTATTCGTTTCCTACGAGGGCAAACATATCAGGGGTCATAAAAATCATATGTGCCCTTAGGTCATATCAGGTCTCGAGACAAGTGTATTTTTTCTATCAATCAGTCAGTATTGTTTATGTCATTCAAATCTTATTGTGACATGAAGTCGGAATGATGTCACACTAGAAACGTCACAGCTGAAGATTGTTGTCGTCATTCGGCAAACTGTGGTTCCCCTGCTGTTGTAACTTGCTGTCCTTATAGGTAAACACACAAATTTGACTCTGTATGTAGACAATGTCTTCAGTAATAAATAGAACATTATATTTGTGTTCATGTTATGCTCTGTTGTAAACGTAGTATGACATGAAAACTCATATAATATCCTCTATGTATTGTTATTATGTCTGCATGGAGACTTATTCCCAGTAGCTACAGATTAAGTTTCAAAAGTTCAATTATCAGATCATAATTACCATGCTTACCTGAAATTGAGTCTCATTGCATACAATTTTTTCTGCAGAATAAACATGACAAAAGTAAAAGGGTTAACATCCAGTTCTAAATTTAATTGATTTATGTTATTTTGAAGAAAAAAACCACTTACGTAATAACTGGATTTTTACAAGGTTGTAAAGTCAAACAGCAACAGTCAAATTCCTGAAATAGAAATACAAATAATAGTAATGATTTAGTCTTACTTACTTTATGTCACATCAACATGATCAATGATACATTGTTCTGGGATTTGAAACACAGATCTCTTGACCTGAGGGTGGACACCTTGTCAATCTGTTCATGAGGTCAACCATGAGTTAACCCATCAGCAGGTAGACAAATGTCACAGTTGTTCAAATGTCCTAGAGCTGAAACCATAGGCCTCCTCTATCATGTCAGTGGGTACACATTTGTCAATCAGAGGCACTGTTTTGTATAAAACTACCACATACGACCTCAACAGAATCAGTACTAGCGGTTTAATCATATTAAAAGGACTTGCAAACTAGCTGGAAACCCATGTATACCTTGTTACATATGACTGGGCCAGTATTAAAAGACAAGCTATGTATATAGTCCTGCAGATCAGTACCATGAATACCAAAGAATGAAAATTACCTTGACAGAGTCCTTCCCAAGTCGCACCTCCTTGCTCCCATAGCCAGATGAGGACGTGTCCTTCTTCCTCTCATGGTAGGTGTACACAGTGCCTGCCGTACAGTTTCTGGCGTGACGAGTCATGGTTCACCCTCTGAAAGAAACCAAATATATTCTGAGCCAGAGTGATAGGAGCTTAACAGGTTTAACGAGTGGTAAACTATTGGATCCTAATAGCATATAACATGTTGAGTGCCTAAAACAAAATGTAAAAAAATACTGATCCGTGATCGTCTCCAGGGACGCACACAAAAAGCGCAAAAAAAAGACACACAAAAAGCAGAGACACGCAAACACTGAAAAATATTCTGTCTTTTAAAAAAAACCAGGCACTCCCGGAATATAATACTGGACACTAATGCAAACTGTACGCTGGGACACTTCTCCGGAAACAACGACGATGAGCGAAAACTGGGGACATGAAAACGACTTTTGACACGACCAACAAATCTTACATAAGCAGGATTAAAAATAATGAGATATCATCAGTAAAACACTCTGGGGTATGTGTCACAAACAGTACCGAGATTAATGACATCCGTTGCGTAATGTGACCGTACGTAATCAATAAATAACCATATTTACCTGCTACGTTCCTTCGCAATAATTCAACCGGAAATACACTGCCCTCTACCGAGAAAGGGAAGTAACTCCAGTTGCAATTCATTCTGTTTTCAAAACTTGTTACAACAGTGTTTTCATAGGTTCGATACACGCAAAAGAAACTCACTGTAAATAAAACAACTTCGTTTTATTATTGATTCAGCTTTACTTCACATATTTTTTAAAGAGATAATATAAAAAAAAGTAATTATCCATGTTATCTATCAAAGTAATTTATTCATTTCAACTTCCAAACTACATGACTCCTCACATTATGTTTTAAAAGAAAACAACAACAAAAACCCCGAATTGTTGTCAGAATGATGCTCTTGGTTTTAATTCAGTAATATTCTTGAAAGTACAAAACGGATTCTCTCTGATACCAGCAGTAGGATTAATTCTGAGGAAAAAGATGGTGCGAGTTATTTCCCTTTGACCAATCCCTTTCCTCCTGTTTATTGGGGTTGGTTAATGTAACGTGTGCATTTGCGCAGTGTTGGTAAAGACTACAGCATTTCTTTGGCTGATGGTAACTGAGAAAAAGGAGGGTATTGTAGCTATTTAGGTCATTATAATGTAAGTATTGAAAACAAAAACGAGTAATATAGTTTTTGTTGGTGGTGAGGTGAGGTGTTGCATGTTTCCTTGCACTTTCGAAAACACAACTCTATTTCACAAGTCACATAACCTTTGTGTAAACAGAGACCATATAATGTATATATATAATAATCTAATTATATGGTCTCTGGTGTAAAGAGCAAATTAAGGAATCTACTCTTCCATAGCTATACGGACAGTTCGGCTTTATTATGGTAAAACGGAGAAAGGTCTGATGAGTTTCTATTAAACAAGGTGTTGGGCAAGTTCGAGTCATGTCAGCATGATTCCTTCTAATTTTCATATAATGATCTGAATCAAGTGAATAAGGAGGCAAGCACTGGCCTCTAAGTTCATGGGTTTTATATACACCGTGTCTTATTGGCCGATTATACAACACCCTTATCTACAACCCCTAGCGTCTTAGTCTTGACTTGATCCATTATTTGCCAACAAACATACACTCTTCTATAATGCCACTAAGAGTAGATCACTTGTATTCTGTAAATCACGCTAACCTCATAATAAAGTAAGCTACAAGTTTGTGGATGCTACCATTGGCAGCTCTGACTCAAATATGGCGGAATACTAGTAATCATTAACAGTAACTTACCCTGTAAAAAATGAGTCTTGACTAGTTGCTCAAAAGCAAGAAAATGTGTTATTCTGATCTCCACCCTGCTACGTGTGTCAATATATGGAAAAGAACTATTTTATCTACAAGCTTTTATAGATGTGAATTGTTACCAGCCTTATACGGTAAAGAACGTGAAATAGTTGTATGTAAACAACGTTACTTTGCTCGCCATATAGAAGGGCTTGGTAAAAGCATGGACCTATATAACCAAGTCCGTGGTAAAAGACACCCAAGAGATTCGCCTATTTCTAGCTTGAGAATATGTCAATGAATGGTTATATACATAAATGCATATTGCAGTCATTTGGAAGGCTCTGTAATAACGATTGCATCTTTATTTAGTGTTCACATTTCTACCAACGCTATTGTCAATATTAGCCGCCCAGTAAGCATATGCAGCAGCCTTCTATATACTGCGAAAACGTATCATTTAGACAACTTTATTAAATATTATACTGGTAATGGTTCATTCCTAACTAAATCAGCTTGGCGTGCTATTGTAAACAGACGTCTGTCACAAAATGAATAAAACATTTGGCTAGCGAGAACAGAGACAAGATCTCTCACGAAACCATAAAATGCATACACGTTTTCAAATGTACGTTCTCTAAGAATACAATGCATCTCTATCCACACTTAAGACACCTTCTGCAACTTTTATTAAAATCGGATTAAGAGCAAAAGTGTCGATAGAATGTAACCATTGTAATCGACATTGTTTTGACTACAGTTGCCTTATTTTTTTGCAACGTGATTTTTTTATGTCTGACAGATATAATTTCTTTTCACATCTGATTGATAAACTTAATGTTGATGTATATGAAAAAATGGATATGCTTGACAACGATGTCATGCTTTCATTGTTTCTCGGTGCAGATGTTCATGACAAATTTATTAGGATACTTGGGGTAACATCGTACTGTCTTTTTGCTACTTTATTTAAGAAATAAACGCCGAGGGTCGCAGTCCCGAGTGGTTTATTCTCCCTGCGGTGCTTTATCGTACGACAAACAACGACCACGAGTCGTTTATTTCTTAGATGAGATATCAACATTATGTACATCCTGTTTAAGAATGATGATAAAATGTAAAATTAAAAATATTTACCCGTATTTAAATAAGGGCGACTCCCTCAATAGAACCCGACCTCGGAAATGTCGGACAAGTTCATTTTATGCACAGGTGGATATTTCCCACATATTCTCACAATCCTCTCGTCGATTACCTGTACCTTTTCTCCGAATACCGATTGTCAAACCTCTCACGCTTTGGGATGCGATCGTTTGGCCATCGCGTTTATTATATCTGCGTTGCCCAGCTACATCTTTAGGGAACAACACACTAGACACTGTCTCCCCTCTCAAAAATAACGTCGTCATATAAACGCTGCCCACAAACTGTACAGTGTCAACAGTGTATTCAGAGGCAAGAGTCACATGCTTTCATTGTATATATAGTCAAGTAATGTAAATACTGTATTTTCCTATGCATGATCTTCGGATTAGGGGTGGTAGGGTAGCCTAGTGGCTAAAGCGTTCGCTCGTCACGCCGAGGACCCGTGTTCGATTTCCGACATGCGTACAATGTGTGAAGCCCATTTCTGGTGTCCCCAGCCGTGATATTGCTGGAATATTGCTTAAGGCGGCGTAAAACCATACTCACTCACTCATTCTTTGGATTCAACTTCGTTCGTTGATTCGTTCGTTCGTTCGTTCATTCGTTCATTCATTCATTCATAATGAGCAGCCTGTTTCAGCTGGGGCCTCCATGGATGAAGCTTGTTTCCCTTCTAACTACAGTTACTTCGCATTTCTAACATACCAGTTCACGAATTGATTAAACTATTTAGTACTTTGTTGTTACCATTCTGTGGATTAGTTTACACTGAAGATCCCTGATTATAGATTGTCTGTAGTTCATTTTGTAATATTTTAAAAACACTTCATTCCATAGTCGAGTAAACAAGATTTCCCTGTTAATGTGGGTGCACACCGGGTCAGATTTCTTGTTGTTATCGTCTACAATTGCAGGGTCGATTAAGTCGGTTGAGTGAAAATAATATACGTCGTATTTCGTACTTTGTGCTTTGAACGTATGGTTGATAAGGTTGATGTTATTACTGGTTTGTTGGACAGTAGGCACGATACGCATGCACAGAAAACATAGTCGGCACATGTACAGCAGAAGCAGACGCAGACACAGACACAGTAGACATGGGCACTGTAGAAACGGGCATGGTAGACACTGTAGACACGGGTATAATAGACACAGCGAACACAGTAGACATAGACACAGTAGACTCAGAGTAGACTTGGACATAGTAGACACAGACATCGTAGTAGACATAAAGAACACAGTAGACATAGTAAACACATGTACAGTAGACACAAAGAACACAGTAGACATATACACAGTAGACATAGATACGGTAGACACAGACAAAGTAGACACAAACACAGACGACACAGACATAGCAGACACAGCCACAGTAGACACAGACAAGTAGACATAGACACAGTAGACACTGACATAGTAGATACAAACACAGTAGACACAAACACAGTTGACACAAACATAGTAGACACAGACACTGTAGACACAAACACAGAAGGCACAGACATAGTAGACACAGACACAGCCACAGTAGACACATACATAGTAGACACAGTTGACATAGACATAGTAGACACAGACACAGCCACATTAGACACAGACATAGTAGACATAGACATAGCAGACACAAACACAGACGGCACAGACATAGCAGACACAGTAGACACAGACATAATAGACACAGTAGACACAGATACAGACATAGTAGACACAACCACAGTAGACATTGACAAAGTAGACACGGGCATAGTAGACACGGTAGACACAGATACAGTTGACAAAGACAAAGTAGACACGGGCATGGTAGACATTTTCACATAGTAGACACAGACACAGTAAATACAGAAAACACAGACACGGTAGACACAGAGACAGTAGACACGGTAGACATCGTAGACACATACACAGCAGACACGGGCATGGTAGACATTATCACATAGTAGATACAGACACAGTAGACACGGTAGACATCGTAGACACATACACAGTAGGCACGGGCATGGTAGACATTATCACATAGTAGACACAGACACAGTAGACAGGGTAGACATAGTAGACACATACACAGTAGACACGGGCATATTAGACACATACACAGTAGGCACGGGCATGGTAGACATGATCACATAGTAGACACAGGCACAGTAGACCTCCCTAAAGTGGGAGTTTGTCTACGACCAGCATCTCTAAGGGCTGTCCCCAAAGTACAACAAAAGTCGTGATTGAAATCTACTCATATCAGCGTTAAACCCAACCCACTCACTCACACACACAACACCCCTGAAGAGGAGAAACTGGTTTTCAGTTTATTTACCCATTAACCCAAACTTTGTTCACGATACATTATCAAAAACAAGGTTATACGTTAATAAACACGATGTTTAAAAATAATTCGCCTCACTTAAATCGCAGTCGCAACTACGTCGTCACACGACTACCTACATGTCATCTGATAGACCGCATCTTGCATCGGAGTGGGCGTCCTGCCACCTGCCTGCGCGCGCACCTTCCCGTTTCGACCAGCCCACAGTAGGACGCCATATGTATGCGAACCATCAGAATGGTGTAATGCCTGAACCAATATTTTCGCTAGGAAACAGGTTTGGTGTGTGTATCAACCGACGCCCTAGAATATAAAGAGGTAATGAGCTTTGCACACACGACCAGCAAATGTGGCCGAAACAGCTAAAATTCGACGAGAAAATCAAAAGTT